AAGCGTGCGCTATTGGTTTAGTGGTAAAATATCTCGTTGCCATCGAGATGCCCCGGGTTCGATTCCCGGATGGCGCATATATTTTTGGGATTTGATTGGGCCATTTTTCATTTTTGCCAATTTTCACAGAGTACGACCCTGCATTTAAACAGCAGTACAAGTTGTACTGTTGGGCACCAAGATTCTTGGTGCGCTGGCTGCATGAATGCAGCGACCTGGCCCATCTCTCGCTTATGACAAGCTGAAGAATGTCGCTGAGGCCATTGGCCTAAAACTAGGCCAAGATTCGGATTCTGCCTCTTTCCAATCAGGGCCATGGCAGTGGCAATGGCTTCAACATCGGCGGATGGCTCCTACGGCCGATGGCACCGCTACAAGGCAGCGACCGACGCCGTGCTTACGTGGCTCGAGCGCGCCGCGTCCAAAGCCTACAAGAAGGCAAAGTCAAAGTCGAAGCTGAAGGCGCCCATTGACACGTGGACGACCGGCCAGATCTGGGCAGCCGCCGTCGCGGTCGCCGAGGCCGGCGTCGCCGTCCCACGCGATGTCTGGCGCAACCTTGCGACGAGTATTCGCCTGCGCTGGCAAGCGACCAAGTGCTTGCCGCGCGACGACGGCCATCTGCACTTTCTCACTTTGCTCCGGGCCATGCAGGCCACGCTGACCCCGGACCGTCCATCGCCACCGACCGCCGCCACCGACGATCTCTCCAACACGTTTAAAGCATTAGCGCTGGACGACGACGACGATACGATCGATGCTTCTATGCCAGCGTTTGATGTGGCGGCGTTCGTGCCGCCTGCCGCGCCGACGTCGCAAGAGACAGCACTCGCGCAGCTCGAAGCCGATCAGTTTCGCGCGACGTGCTTTCTCCAGGACCTCGACGAGCTTTTGGACGAGGTCGATGCTGTCTGGACTGCGTTCCAGGACGGCAAAACATCGCTTGTCGCTGCGACGATCGTCACCAACCACGCCGTCCACGTCGCCCAATCGCTCGCGTCGACGCTGACACTCGAGCTCCCGTACCTCGACTCGCTCAGTACCATTAATGTGCTGGTGAGCAATAGCGACGCGCTGCGGTCGCTTGTGCTCCAACACGGCGTGGACCTCGCATATGCGGTCGAGGTGTGTGAATTCATACGGCGCTCCTCGGTTGTCCGCACGAAAGAGCTTGGAACGGGCCTCGCCACGCGTCTTACGACGACCAAGTCGGAGGCCAAAGCGCTCCATGCAATGCTCGTTGCCGACGCCGCCGCGCCACTGCCCGGCGTGGCGCAAATGCGGCACGGCAGCGACCTCTGGAGCGTGCACTACACGTAAGTGTACGAGTCCCCCGTCGCCGCCCTCGCCGACGATTTTGCGCTCGATCGAACCTCGATGCGCTCGCTGGCGCAGGTGTTTGTTGCCCAGATGGTGCCTCGTCTGCGGGCTTTAGTGGACGGGGACTCACTTTCGCTGCCGCCCGAGTTGGCGCCCGTCAGCCCTTTGTGGTCGCTCTTGAAGAAGCGCAGCCACGGCAGCGTTGTCGACATGACGCTCGTCGTCGCGACCCACTGTCTTTTGAAAGCCATGCTGCTGGTCGACGACGCCTCGCTCGCACCTTCGATGAAGCGCGCGCTCAAGCAGCAGTACAAGTCGACCCTCTTGCGCATACAAAGCGACAAGACGGACGGCATCAACACCTCAATGCTGCACTCGATATCGGGATGGTACGTCAAGATCCTGGGCGTGACGACGACCAAGTTGCGCATCTTCCCATCCGAGGCGCTGCGCGATATGTGGTGGTTCAACCCGTACATGGCCGGCCAATGCCTCCTCACGTCGTCGACCGTCTTTACGGGTCTCGCCGGGCACATGCTGCTCAATGACGTGGGCCAAGGCCGGCTCGTGCTCCATCTCTACAATGCGCTGCGCATTCATAACCGGATCTTGCCTATTGTAGAGCTCGACATGCTGCTCGACTTGCTCGCCCGAGACAAGCACGTCTTCCCGACGGGGATCCCGACGGCGCCAGGGCATTTCGTCGCCGCTTTTGAGCTCTCGAGCGGCTTTGCCTTGAACACTGTGACCAAGGCCATGCGCGCGTCGCCCGACCGTGCGCTCGAGACGCTGCGTGCGAACGCTGCCCACCGTGAGAAGCAAGACCGCCGCAGCAACCTCCAGAAGGCCCTCGGACGATCCATCACGCGCCATCGCGACGTCGTGGGCACGAGTTTCTCGGACCTGAGCCACGCGTACCGATATGCTACCTGCATGCAGCCGCTGCCCGTGCGCGAGGGCGGGACGCTGCCGGATCTCCGCAAACTCTGGCGCGTGGCCGACGACGAGTGGCGCCGGTTCATCCAGCTCGATTTGATGGCAATGAGCACAGTCTTGACCGACGTGGCCAAGGATATCGCAGCGGAAATGATGCCAATGCTGTCCAAAGTGCCCGACCTCAGTGTCGACAACATCATTCCGCGCTTGTTCCATGCAGGCCGACTGCTCCTCTCATGGTGCGATCTAAGCAGCCTCGAGCACGAGCTGCTGCGGAACGCTGCGAGCATCATTACCGCGTCGAGTAGCAAGCTCCAGGACGCCTACATCATGCCACGCTCGTCGTAATAACACCAATCGTAAAGTCCTCTTATAGCTCTGTTGTCATGATACGCCATTAAATCGTAGCTCTCGAAAGTCGTCGTAAGCCTCAACAGACCAGAGAACGAGCATGTAGCTACCAGTCAGCAAACTCACGCTGACCAACGTGTCCTGCTCGAATCGGCAGCATGAATCCAAGAGACGACTAGTCCCTTGTCGCAACGCCATGCCGGCTCCGCGAGACGACCGCAAAGATGGCATGCACAGCAACAGCAACGCCCACGCACGTTGCGAGTGGTCCTCGAACGACGTCGATCATGGCAGAGACCTCAAATTTGCAAGCGCCCCGATTTGTATGGGTTGCCGCCATCTGTTGTCACTGGCGCCAGCACCCAAGGTCGCAGCGCGTCCGCAGCCATACGCACGTCGAATGACGAGTGAAGCACCCTTGCGCACTCTAGGAGCATGAATGCAGTACGAGAAGCGCCACTCGCAGCGCGCCAGCGGTCGGGACGTGGCCGTGGTTGCTGGCAACGGCAAGTTGAAGTTGGTGCGGCAGATGACGCAATCAGCGGCTTGGATCGGGACGATTGCAAACCGATTGGTCGAAATCGGTGTCAAGTGGCGCCAGGACGACGGACTTGTCCATGGGGCGTTTACAAATGTGTCTTTGCGTTTCTCTAGCTCGACCTACTCTGACCCACGATGCCGGTTGAACGACTCACTTTGCAACTTGCTCGCAACCACAACAACAGCAACATGAGCGCCACGCCG